ATCATTAAATTTCGGTAACAAACGTTTACTTTTGTTTTGAATCGATAAAGAGAATTCTCGTTGTCATATTAAAGTATGTATTGAACATATTATTAAAAGAAAATTTTATTTATCATGACTTATATTCTGTTTTCGACGGTACATCATCCTATTCTCACAACAACATTCAGTATGATTGATCATGATCGGAGATTTATGATTAACGTTCTCTATGCATATTCCACATCTTTGCTATTTGATGATATCCCTTTTGTTGATCCAGCTCTATCATTTTTATTCATGAAGCAAGCAAATGTATAGAACGAACTAGATAAGTTTATGAAAGTCAAAATTGACAAAGCAGTTAATTGTTCCAATACATTATCGAAAGTACATGAAAAATCTTCCAGCAGATAATCTATTGTTCATAGTCTGCCCAGTCAAGATGACATGTTCGAAAGCATTATGTGACATGAATGCGCTGGCTGACTCATTCTATATTCAGTTAATTATCACAAATAATATCTCTATCGATAAGACCAATAAAATTGATGTATCACTTTTTTTTTCATGCATAAATACAACTTGTGCAAGAACTGAATAGTATACATGGGTATTCGTAATATCATTCATAAATATTATAATGTCTGAGCAAAATTGAGTCATGAAGATGACCGAAATACAACGAAAGACCCACATGAAGTCGTCTTGCAACAATCGATTGCAATTACTCCAAAATCATCATCAAGTATAAAGTTGATTGAAGGGACGGTAAAAATAATACACACGAATATATACCATTAAATTGTTTGACATTATTTTCTATAGAAAAAACACCCAAATTCACACATTTCTTAATCTTTTATTTATTTACATGTATTTATTGTTCACACTTAATATACGATTGAAAGTATTTTTGATGGATTACTTTATAACTACGGATTAAAAGTAAAATAACACAGCTTGAATACTCATGTTGCTGACGAATGTTTTAATGCATATTGTTTTAATACTATTATTCTCATTGGTTATAAATTTGAATCGAAACCGTTATTAATTAAAAAAAACGAATGTTGTTCTCATTGAAAGGTCGACATCAAGAATTTATTCAACATTTGAGACTAGAATAGAGCGTAAGTATGCTCAAAGATTTAATGGAAAAAAAAGTATTTTTCCATATCATATCATTCTACATGCTTTTAAAACAGCAGCGCATTGATCTTTCTTTTAACAGAGCACAAAATTATTTGTTGTAGCTGTAGGGCCGTAGCTATCCGAGGAAGCATACAAACATATGTTTCATTAATTCTTCCTTCTATAAGACCTTGCATTGCTATAACACCAAAATTTTCTAGATGACTAGTAGTCACCTTAATTAGTTCTTTGTAGAGTGAAATCTAATAATCTTTCTCTTCTACTATTACATTCTCAAATTTTGTAGTTATTTTTGCACAACAGTGCTCTGTTTCGGCTAATAACTAATATATATTCTCTGAAGTGTTAAAACGAATGATAATGGTCGACACACAATATACAAAACGATACACGAAAAATTCGAATATGGGTCTTTATTTTTCACCGGGAAATTTTCATGTTCAACTTTAGTCAACCTGGTTGATCATTAACCGGACACACCATAAAAATAGTTTTAATTGGAAAATAAGCTATAGAAGAAGAGAAGAAAGATAAGATAATAACTGCTTGTCTCAGATCATTGACAAAGATTTTGTTTAAAAGAAACTAGGATGAGTGGGCTGAGAGAAGAGCTACATCCACTCAGTCATTCTTAATAGAATATACTTCCATGATCTAGACCAATGTTCTGATACGTCATCAAGAAGCATCAACTACGTACATATGGGATGTGACAATGAGTATATTTTCTAAGCTAACATATTATATCCAGATGTTATTCGCTACAAAAAGCTTTTATCCTTTACTGTAATGATAATATAATCTTTGCTTCATCATTTAGTACGATTTTTCATAAATAATTAACTAACTGCAATATGATGGATCGTAATGAACGTGGGAGCAGGAGGTGCGTACGAATCAATTTAAGTTTGGGATCGATTTTTGTCATGCAATGGAATGAAATGAAATAACGCACCATCGGTCACACACAATACACCTTACAACAAAACAACATTTGTGTTTTTTTGTCTGTTCTTTTGAAACACAATAATCATTTCTTTACTTATATGCTAACAAGACGGAATGGAAAAGTCATGTTTATATGTGCGATCAAATCTTTCCGTCACAAAAACATCAATCGCTAGAGGAACTGGAATATTCTTAAAAATATTGACGCATGAAGAGCGTTACTAGTTAACTAAATTGCAATATTTTTCAAGATCCAGTTGTCAAACCGGAAGTTTATATATATGAACAAGAGAATATTGTTGCTTAGCTATAACAGTATGGAACGAGTCCCAAAACACAAAAATGGATGACCGTTGAATCACTTCAACCAAATCATTTTGTTTGCCAGATTATCGTTGAAGTCGCCCCTCTTTCACAGAAAAAGACTGTCGATTTCATCTGAATGTCGATGTGCGTAAAACGGAAGCGTGTTCTTACTTTCAAACATTTGGCAAGCCAATCTACAAGGTCGAATGGATCTACACAAAAAGGTCCACCAATCATTTTATTGAAAATTGAAAGTGCTAAAGCAAGTCGAGAAGCTTCATTTTACATCAAACTTAGTTGTCACTTACACATTATACGTACTTATGGTCTTGTTGGGAGTGATCTGAGTTACGTCATTCTTGTGCAAGTATATTTACAGACAAGTGATCTTACCGAACTTCTAAGTAAACACGAGTTTAAACCAAACAGAAAAGTTCTCGTTAAGATATTCGTTCAAATCATTGATACTATGATCTGTTTGATCAACAATCGACTTATTCACAGCGATTTGGTTTGTCGAAATGCACTTATTTTTCAATGTAATCCAGATATTATGAAAGAGAACCTTGTTAAATTGATTGATTTCGGACTTACTAAAGAAAATGATGAGTATTTGAAGCTTTCAGCTTATCCAGAAAAACGATGACCGTCATTCTGTTACGATATGCTGCACCTGAAGTTTTTTGAACAAATAACGATCAACAGAGTGGTTCTGAAAAGTCAGACGAGCGACCGACGTTTAAAAAATTGAAACGAGCATTGATGCTTTTACTAATTGAATTAGCAACCAGTTAAAAAGTGTTTATAACTTGAAATCTGTATAACATTTAAAACTCTTAATCACAATATTGCAACCAGAAAGCACTTCTACCTTTATTGATATTGATGAACGTGACATGTTGGGTATGTTTAGAAATGTCAAAGTGAGTTAAAAAAAACATTATCCTATTTATGACCTGCTGTGATTTTTCATGATTAGAAAAATTTTCACATTTCGGTCATGACTGTGACTAAAAGTGATAAACTCTTATCTGCAAGAACCAATTCATTCGTTATTCTTTGGTATTGTAATGCATCTAAATTGCATAGAGTAATGAGAACTTGACTCTTGAAATCTTTATTTCAATCACTCTGGTTGACCATGCACCAGATCAACTGTTCTCACTGCCATGTAAAAAAAGAGCTTGATCAACAAGAAGAAAGCCCAGATTAATCTGTTAAGCTTCGTCGCGAAATATAATGTAAAACATAGAGACGATTTAGAAAATAGTTGTGTTATATGTGTTCAGAAGAAGATGTTGCAAGTTCAACCAGCAGTCAATAGACATATAAGAAACCACTTCAGTGACGACGAATAATTTTCTTGTCTCGTCTATGAAAGAAATAATGTTTTTTTCAAAGTTTCACAACAGCATGTAGCTACTCAAATAAGTAAAATGACATAAGACAATCAATATAGAAATAAGAAATTGGAACTGCAGATCGATCGATATTGATATGGTAAGATTGATTTGAGAATGAGGAAGGCGGACGATAAAGACATACCTCTGATCATTGAACGAACTGTATGCAAGAAAGCAATGCACTTTAATCAACTTGATTAATAGTGATCTGACGTTGGATAGCGTAAGAGGGCTTGTCGATGAACTAAGAACAAACACCAAACTAAACGTGCTTTGACTACATCGTAGTTGAATAATATGGGTTAATATATTGAGGTATACAAATTCTCTGTTATGTTCTTTGAAGAAATTCGAATGTTGAGAAGCTATATCTCTCCATAAGTGACTTGTTCACCGATAAATCCATCGATTAACTCATCCAAATACTTGAACACAATAAAACATGACAACTACCCCACACTGTCGCCTGTAGTATATCAGATAAACTTCGTGAACAGGTTTCAAGGCGGAGGACAAAGAATGCATGCAATATCACATGTCGAAGTAACTAAATCTTGAAGTTTTAAAATAGCGAGCCAAAAATGATGAATCAGTAACACAAAATACAAGAAAATAAAATATCAAAAGCAATGGTAAAGCCTTTCGCGTATGTAGTTATATTGCAGTAAAATGGAATCTCACTGCTTGAAATTTTGACCGAGAGAAAAAATCGTTTTGTTGTTAGAGTATCGCCATCTTTCAAGAGTCGAAGGTAAATGGGTGTGTGAGTGTGGAGAAAAGAATACGCACAACCAGGATGCAAATCCTCTGTTCAACGATATTCACATCGAACTCCATCTTCACTTTAATACCTACACATACACCCGCACTCACGTAATACTGTCACGCATAAACACCCATCCACAATCCGCACCCACTTTTTTGTTACAAGAGCAGTCAGTGTTTTTGATTTCATGAACAAAAACATTTTTTTTTCGCTTATTGTTTGCTTCTTTTGAAATGATTTCGGTCATCGAGTGGCAACGTCAACAAACTGGCTTTTCTTTACCTTGAAACAAAAAAAATGATTTCCTTTTTTCTTAAATATAATTCTCTCTCACAACACAATAACATTACCTTTTTTCATTTCAAAAAGAACTGCATTCTCTCATTGTACATTTTTTTTTCTTCATCAATCATAAAAGAGACTCACACGACTATATTGATAACATGGCTACTAAATATACTGATGCTTCTGACCCTACTTCAGTTCCTCACCAACGATTCACTGACGTTAAATATGAAACGAACGAGTTTCTTCTACCTATTGATGACTGTCAAAAAGTTGATCTACTTCCGTTAAAAGACACGATGAAACCAATTCAAAAATACATTGATCCAGATATCCAGAAAAAGGTCTACATCGCTAAGAAACGTTGTAAAAATCCGAAAGATAACTTAACTCAGGACGAATCAGCATCTATTCAAGTTTATACGATGGCATCTACATATCACGAACAAAGCCTGTATTATAATCTGAACAGAACCCTACGTAAAGAAGATCGACGACAATTGATTCCATATTTTGCTTGTTCGAAGTTAATATTAACTGCGTTATGGAAACTACCATCATTTACTGAAAGAGTGTGGCGCAATGTGAATGGTAATTTTTCAAAAGACTTTCAAGAAAGTGATTCTTTAGTTTAGTGAAGATTTAGAAGCTGCACTCGTCATTTGAGCGTTCTTGACTTGGATCAATTTCTTGGTAAGGACGGAGTACGAATTCTATTTAGTATTGAATGTTCAAATGGAAAAGTCATCAAAAATCATTCATATTTTGCAAAAGAAGATGAAGTTTTACTATTACCAGGCATTGAACTTCTTGTTACAGGTAAAGTCTGTCCAGCATGGGGACTTTCTATTATTGAACTAAGAGAAATTACTGATAGTTCTATTGTTTTACTAAAACCACCTTTCTTAGAATCATCTACACAACCCACCAAAGCTGATTCTACTATCTCAGCAGATTTTAATAAGAAATTAACATTAACTACAACTTCACCAAGTTCAAGCACTGCTATTCTGCAATCAAAAGAATTATTAGAGGAAGTGAAAACGCTTCTACAAGAATTAAAATTCCATAATGAGAAATTTAACGATGGATGGTTAGAATTAAATATTGCAAATCTGTCTCTTGATGATGGTAAAGCAATTGCAGAAGGATTGAAAATGAATAAAAATGTTGATAAATTTCTGATTAGTTCAAACAATAACTCTATGGAGTGTCTTAAATATATGGTCGATTAGATAAAAACAGATCTGCACATTAAATGTCTCTATTTCTGTGGAAATAAGAATCATAATTATTTAGTGCCAGTGTGTACACGTATACTGGTTAATACTCTTAGTGTAAACACAACTATATAACGATTAGAAATTATTCATACAACGGTAACAAACGATGATGTGAAAATCATCACCAACCTATTGATAGCAAAGACAACAACGATAAACCAATTACACTTGGATAATAATCCTTATCTAACTGTTCAAAGTGCGTCTTACTTGAGTGAACTTATTAAAACTACTACAACAAAAGAAACTCTTTCGTTTGTTGGAAAACCCAATGTTGATGATAAATATGCTCAATTAATTGCATCTGCGATGAAAGTAAATTCATCAATTAAAAGCCTGTGGATAATGGGAAGCCAGATTTCGGATGAAGGTGTGCAAGCATACGGTAAAGTGTTAACTAATAATTATGCATTAAATTCTTTGAATTAGGCCAACAATCAGATAAAGGACGTTGGTACTAAAGCACTGACCAATGGTCTCAAACAGAATACAAGCTTACGGTTTCTTCATCTCAAAGAAAATCATTTTACAGACCAGAATGAAGGTGGTAAAACTCTAATGAAAGCAAAGAATTCAAGGTTGACAATATTTTTTGGTTGATTCAAAAATCTATGAATGTACTTCCGATTATATATTTACTTGACTGCAACGATGATGATATGAAATAAAATGCATTTGTATGCCTATGTGTTTGCCCATTTGTCTGCCTGAGTATAGTCTGTGTCTACATACATTTCTATAAATGTAGACTATCTGTTGAAATTAAATGACTACTTGGTGCTTTACTTTCATCCAGTCACATGCTTTATTATTAATCTCTGATCCAATCAGATTTTTTTTTCTGTATAACAGTTTCGAGTATTCATGGTTCTCCTTGAGTCAAGAAAACCGTGGCATATTTCGATCTTGTTTAAGAGTATCATCAGATGGCTATGATTTTAAATTTCTCTGAGGATTTGGGTGGGTATGCATGCGAAGGTATTACATGTAGATGTGCTTTCTCTCCTCAAGAACTCTTACACTCAAATCGCTATACGCTTAAAATAGACTTTTCCTGATGTAAAAACCAAACTCACAAACTTGCTGATTACCTGGTAACGTAACTGGTCCGTTACGGTGAGTAACATCCACTAACGAGGAAACATTCCCAACTGTCACATTGCTTTTAAGTCGAGCGTATGCGCATCATGTAGCCTCTAATGATCTATGAATACTCTGAAAAAAGTTCGTGCTGCTAGCTTATTACTACCGAGATACTGCATTTTTACTGTATGTTTAAGCAGAAAGCCGTGGTCTCCCTCAGAAACACTAGGAAAACTGTGTTTCGAATTTCCACTTGAAACTTTGCATAGAGATAGGTCTCAATGAGAATATTTTATTGTGAAAGTTTCAGATCTTTTGATTGCTCCCAGTCTGAAATAAGAATATCGAAATCTGCTGGTGTATATCAGCGATTTTACCATAGCTGTGTCTTAGGATAGGAACAATGAAAAGATCTGAAACTTTCACAATGCATGAGGCGACTGGATACTTGATTGTATGACTTTGTGATTCAATAAAATATCTATAAAAATGTAAATAGGAGATCTGTATTTTTTGCTTCTGTGAGTAGCTGTAGGGTCAATATTATTCTCGGTGAGCATAATACACATCGGCCAGTAAACTAATTCTAGATCGCGTAAACTTCGACATGAAAACAGAATTTCGTATAAACTGTTTGACGAGCTGCAAGCTGCTCTATTAAACTGTATATTTCGTTTCCTGATTGACAGAGGATTATCTAAACCAGCAGAATTCTTTGTGAATAAGGAAAGAAAAAAAAGTAACTTATTTTCCGGCAAGTTTTATTTCGAGGATTATATAGAAAAAAACCAAATAATTCTTGAAAAAATAGATCTTGGAACCTGCTAGAAAAATTATATAATTTCATATTGGGCATATACGCAAGATATTGACAACGCTCAAATATTGAAGTATCGTATAGCAAATATTAGACGCAAAAAAGACAAAAAAAAAATAATCTATGACTAACTTATGTTTTAACTACACTTGAGTTTGTTATACTTGTTGACGTGATCATAAAATAACAATACCTTCATGAGAAATGTTTCTCTTCTGCAATTCATTGTACTTCAAGGATTTCCATCGATAAGATTACAACAACTTATGTGGCTGAGAGATTTTATAGATTGACAATTTGTATACAGAATATGAATTGACTAATACTTTTTGAGAAGCTTACTCGTTATCGATTTTAAAAACTAGCATGTATGCAGCATGATTTATGTACAACAATCAACCTATTATGAGTTCATCAAAAGTAAACTCAACTAAAGCAATATGTTGTCTGGAGAATCTCAATCATAGCTCATCCATTTGTGAAAGACAGCTGAATGTGACAAAGTTTTCGATAAATAGAAAACAAAGTTTAGATTCGATATGAGCATAGAAGGTTTTATTAAAATACAGATAGTTCTTAACATATGGTATTAGACAAACAATTGAACACTGATTTAAGCATAAGAACGTTTCCATTTATTATTCTTCATCTAATTACAAATAAAACTGTTTCATACTGTTATATATTTAGTTTCTTGACAATATTGCCTAGAAAGATAACTAATAAACAAATAAGATTTCGTTCTTTCGTTTAATCATATAGAAAAACAAGATCCCTTAAAGTATTATTATGTTAAACTATAAACAGACGATTTGTTTCTTCAGATGAGTATCAAGACACTATGTGCATAGGGATATCACTTTTGATTTTTTGTTCAAAAATAAAATTTCACATAAACATTTCAATTTTTATTTTATGAAAAAAAAAAATAAAAGAAATCGACAAGACAATGATTCGAGCGACGAACATTTCTTGAATATTTGATCGAACGAACTAAATTAATATAGAAAAAAAAGTATGTGTCCTTCACATAGCGTTTGACAAAAAGGAAATTAGTCCAGATCATTGGTTGAAGATGCACTGGCTCCACCACCCATACCACCTAGATGTATATGAACTTAAAGATTAGTAATATGACAAGATAAAGATAACTAACCTGGAAAACCAGGAAATCCACCTCCCATAGATCCACCAGCACCACCAAACTTATTAGCAAGTTTTTCCATAATTTTACGTACCTTTGGATTACTCTGATGAGCAGCTAATTTCGATGGATCCGAACTGACTTCCTGAAATAGATTTTATTTTTAAAAAACTCATTTCTCAAGATACGATCTAAAATTAAATCAATCGTTCCAATATAAAATCTTACCGCGAAAGCTTTTTGTACATCTGGATCTTGTAATGCTTCCAATATTTCCGGATCATTCATAACAGCACCCAATCCTCCTAAATCACCTCGACCACCCATACCACCCATTCCAGCACCTAAATAATAATTTAAAAAAAAAATCAAATATAAGCAATAATAAAAAACAAACAAATTCATTTATTATACCTGGAAATTGATGACCACCTGCTGAATGAGAATGTTGTTCGTGTGCTCGTCGTTCATTTTCTTCATGTTGTGCTTTAGCATAAGCTTCTTGAGCTTTACGAATACGTTCTCGTTTAGCATCAGCTTCTTTTCTTTCTCGAAGTCGTTCATATTTACGTTTATGTTCAGTAACTTTTTTGGCCTAGACAAAAAAAAAAAACAAACATATCATATTGAGAGAAAAGTAAAAAGGCAATGAGAAAAATATACATTTGCTTCAACTTCTTTACACCATATTTGAACATCTTCATCAAAATCAGATAATTGAGCTTTACAAAAATCTTTATAAGCAGCTTCCCAATTACCCAACATACTAAAATAAAAAAAGTATTTTTACTTTAAAAATTATTATTCGTATTTTTTTTGTTTTCTTTATTTACCGATTAGCTTTTCCTCTCCATTTAAGTGCTTGTTGAGAATTTTCATTAAGTTCCAAAGCACGATTACAATCACGAATAGCTGCATTAGGTTTCTGAAGTTTAATATAACATTGTGCACGTTTAGCATGTAGAATAGCCGATTGAGGATTATTTTCAATAGCTTGTGTAAATAAAGAAATAGCTTCTTCGAATGCACCTTCCGAAAGTTTAGCTTGAGCTTCACCACGTTTAACATCTGCTTGTTCCAACATAGCATCGGTAATCTATTAAAAATCGAAAATTTTTATATTTTTAAGTAAGTATTATTAAATCATATTACTTCAATATCAGGATCACCCATTGATTGTGGTGGATCATTATCACCTTCAATTACACTCGTTGTATCTAATTCTATTAGAAAGAAAAATAATTGAAGAATAAAATGAAAGATAAACATGATTGCTAACCTAATTCACTTTCTGGTTCACTATCGACTTTTGATGATTCTTGATGATGTTTTGATGATGAAACATGTTCTTCATCATCTACATCCATTTTAGTTGATTCTGAATGTACATGACTTTTACTACTTGGAATAGTTGCTCCTAATCTATATAATCATAAGAAATAAATTTATATTAATTATTTAAAAATAACAAAGATCAATTTTACTTTAAGAGCCATTGTCGAAAGAATTCTAATTCAGGTGCATGAAGTAATTCAGGTTGCGCATCACATAATGCAATAAATTGTTTAAGAAGATGTACATGTTCATGTGGAATAGAGGCAGGCATTGATGATTTTTCTAATTATTCTAGAAAAAAAAAAAATTTATGCCGCGCCATCTAGCGAGAAGTTTGATTATTTTTTCAGAAAAAGATCGATTAAGTTTCGAAATAAAATTCCACTTAATAGAAGAATAAAGAGAAGAACTTTAATATGACAAAATCTTTCGAATACATTGAATTGTATATATCAAGCTTTTTAATTTCAAAAAATTGTTTTACAATTACTAATTCATATACATAAAAATGTAATAAACCAGACAGACAGTCAAGAATACAATCATTCATGTATTTATTTATTTGAATGAATGCCAGAGTACAAAGATTAATTTTAAAGATAGTTACCATTCAGTGGTGACGCACTCGTTTAAATATAATACTTTTTATTGTTAGTAATTTATAATTATCTATTTGATAATACCATTTTTATCGAAAAAAAAAAACATATTTGTTTGTTTTATTAAAATATAGATGGCATCAGTTGGCTATTACATATATTGAGAAGAACAGATACTTTCAACATATTATTACAATAGACAATTAAATACTACATCACACATAAGAATTGCTTAATTACTATAGAAGTTGAACGATGATCTTTAGAAAATATTAAACAAAGTTAAGTCTCTATATCTAAAGTATATGCATTGAGAAAAAAAAAATGAGAAGATTTAAATAAATTTGCTGAAGATTTCACTGAAATAAGTCTATTGTTCATTAAATATTTTTTCCTGATGTAATTTCGCTTGGTGCTAAAAGAAAAAAAAAACAGAAATATTAATCATATATAACAATATTAAAACTAAAATTTATTACCAGATAAAGGAGTTTGTTCATGCACAACTGGTTCAGTCTGTTGTTTTACTGCCCATGGTTGAACATCACCAGATCCAATGAATAAAAATACAATCATACCAATTGTATAAATAATTGCACAAATAAAAAAAACAATACGCCAATTGTTTGGATCCTATATTCATAGATATAAAATATAAACATAAAATTATCAAAAAAAAAAAAAAACGAACTTTTTCTGTAAGAGCTCCAACAATATATGGACTAATAATACCCGGTATTGTAGCAAATGTATTTGAGATACCAAAAACAATGCCTGAATAAGCTGGAGCAATATCATTTGCAGTTAACATAAAACCTCCACCATAACAACATCCTCTATATTAATAAAACATGATAGAAGAAAAAAAAACGATCTCAGACAAGGAAACAATTACGTGAACGTGACACCAATTGTTAATAAAGTTACTGCAACATATTTTAGTTTACATGTCATAAATGCTAAACCAATAACAAATATTGCTGGAAATAAATTTCCTAATACATTAAATACTTTTCTTGTTTGTGTTCTTGTTAATATTTTCTTTCGAATAATCATATCAGCTATCACACCAGAGAGATTTATATTAACCCAAAACATAATATAAGGTAGTGATGAGAGTAAACCATTCTAAATCAATAATACATCATTTGAAGAACGGAAATATTAAGAATTACAGTCTTAAAATTTGCTCTTTTTCTCTCGATATCACTATATTATAATGTACTTACTGATTTAATATCAAATCTTAATACTTCAGCCATATATTTTGGTATTGATGTAAGAAATGTATATGTACCCCAATTATTACATGTATGAATAATGAAAAGTGCCCAACAAGCAGGCGATGTTAAAATAGATTTCCATGGAGCTTCAAATTCACTTTTACTATGACTAGATAATTGTTGTTGAGTACTACTAAGAATATATTCTTTTTCTTCATTACTAATACAACGTTGATCACGAGGTGAATCAGCATAAAATATAAGCCAAAATACACCCCAAATAACACCAATAATACCTGTTGAATAAAAAATTAATGGCCAACCACCAAGAAAATTCGATGAACACATTAATCCACCAAGAGACAATGTCAAAACATTTCCAATTTGAGCACCTATATGACAAGAGAAAAAAAAATGACAAAAATTAGTTATTACAATCAAAATATTTCAAAAGAAATTACTCACCAGCATTCATAAAACCAACAAGTTTTCCTCTTTCATTAGGTGGTGCCCAATGTGCCATGATTACAGTCATACTTGGCCATATAACTCCATGTGCAAGTCCAACAAATAATCGAAATATCCAAAGTACTATATAATGTATACTTGCACCCCATGGCATTACCAATGTAAAAATACCAGAAATAATCATTGCTATACCAAATATAAATCGAGCACCATATCGAACAGCCAAATATCCACCAGGTATTTCTGTAATCAAATAACCCCAAAAATATCCTCCTAAGACAATACCTTGAATATTTTTTGTCCATGGATATGGACCTTCCTATATAAAATATGAAAGAAGAGAAATTTATATAATCAAATGATAAAATTTTTGTTTGTTTCTCTTGTTTTACAATTTTGACTGTATTGTTTGCGTATGGACAATCAATATCAGCTTGTGTAAGTGGTACATCAATAGAAGATTTATGATGATCAATAGCTGAATGATTGACCATACATACAAGAGCAATACCAACACTAATTTTTTGTGAATAATGTGCCACCATGCCCAAAAATCCAACAAAAGCAACAGCAACACGAATTGAACACCAAAAAGAAACTATAAATAACAAATTTTCAACGAAAATTTTAAATATTTCACCATTTACCCGATCGTGATTGTTCGTTATCTATTGGCTTCATTGTTGTATCTTTCTCGAATTAAATTTAATAATAATTTTTTTTTCTTTAATTTTTGGGAAACAAATATTTATTTGGCGCTCTATTTTATTATATAGTATTTTGATACAATAGTATAAGTATTTTCAAGTAAATACGAAGACAAATAGCCGTCTAGATAACACTTTCTCGTATTTCTGGGTTTAACGCCTTTGTTTTTTTTTTTTCTCTTTTCTATTTTTTTTTTCATTAATAGCCCGTTCTGTGCAACATTTAAGAAAAAACTCTTGTTGTTCTATATTTCCATGCATTACCATGGAGATTACTTGATCCATTATCTGAAGACGAATGGGAGGATAGCCAAAAACCCATCTATCAATAAAGAAAAAATATTAAAGCAAAATATTATAATTAGCATGGAAGAAGAACAAGGTTAATAACGCGTATCATTATGCGTGTTTAAAAAAGGATGTATTTCATACATGTAACCATTGAGATGTAAGCATGACGGAAACTAAAAATAAATTGTTAATGTGACGGCTTAGAATTAATTATAAATGATATCCATTTAGATGTTCACTTTAGAAAAACACGTCATATATATGACAAAAAACTTCGCGTCAAATGATTCTACAACACACAATGGCAAAATCATCTTCTATTTGTATTATACAAATGCATTAAAAGTGTGAAGAAAAACGTCAGAAGAACTATATATTAATTTTCTATCTAAAAATGTTTTTCATTTATAGTATGTTTCTATGTACTTCACAGAACTCAACTATTCTATCCCAGTGATCATGATATTAAATATCACTAATGTATAATAAGTCAAAGGAAAACAAAGTTTCATCACATTGATGAGTCACAACAGTCAAAGCTCTTAATCTGTAATTGAATCATTGATTGCAGTAGATAAAGTTTCACTGTTTTTTTTAGTAAACACAATCGACTAAAAACTAATTTAACCTAAAGTATAAACCAAAGTTCTACATCGAACTTCGCAGTAGTGTCTTCCACGAGTACGACTCTCCATAACCGAATCTGAACCGAAGCTCATTGACATCTGGTAGATATTTTCATAGTCACAGTACGGTTTTTCAAACTTTTATTTTATATGATAAATTTTACTACTTAGTGGCTTCCATAAACAGCAACAATAAAAGAGATCATCTGAAATCTACAAAAAACTATGGATTCAGGGTTCACTTGGTGTCTTTTTTTTCTAAAACCTGATCAATTTCGCTAAATATACGTTTGCTTGTTGCCAATGATGCTGAAATGTTGGCGCTTAACGTTATAACTGTGGGTGCACACATGAATACTTGATCTATCACGATATACCATTCTTCACCTTTTTCGATCATTGATTTTTTCAGAGCTGAGCGACTTGATTTATACCTTAAAAATCTTTGATTTGCTCATCGCTGTATTTTCTTTTTCATATATTCAGTTACTTCATCACATTAATCATCATTTGTAGATGAATTTTCATTAAAAACGAATTCATTCAGTAAAACAATATCGCTTTCCACTTCTGTGACTACAAATTGCTCAATCATGATAGAACTGATTTTTATTTCTATGCGTTTATACAAGGTTAGCAATTTGAAAGAATAAACATATGTTGAAAGGTCAAGATATCATTAACTATTGTATCAAGTTCGAGTGTCATATTGCAAAGCACAATGCCGAAGTCGGAAGAATTGTGAAGAATTATTTTGTAGAGTAACTGTCAGAGACACATGAATTAACAAATCAAGTATTTTTGCATTTGCATAGTAACAACTATATTCTTCACAATATTAAGTAATGAGCACGGAAAGGCACTTTTTTATAGAATCATAATCATGTTTCAAGAAAAAACACCAGAGAAAGATTCTCATTAAGGTGTACTACAAAACGATGTATATGTGGTAGCCTTCTGAGTTGGAGTCAAAAATTTTTACTCTACAGTGCTTTAATGACAATGATGCACTCATATGTATGTACATAAACAACACCGTTGTTTAAACTAATATATAAAAACTGGATGTCCGACTGAAACGAGTTTATTGAAAATGAAAATATAGTTTAGATCAAATTCTAAAAAAAAATAATATTCTTAATTAGATTCAAGTTGGCTATTTCTATTCCTCATGTTTTAATATGTAGAAAAGATTGGTTTTATATGTTTGCAGCAGTTGTTTGTTTTTTAAATAGATATTTTCAAACTTAGCAGATGTTTACCCCCTATTATGACCATATGGTTTCATTGTAATGGCTTCTTGTCAATTTCACATCAATAATCTTTCAATATATATTTTACAACAACAAATTTATTTTTGACGAACATCACCAACAATATTAACAGCAAAAGGAAAACGGGAAAGAATAAGATCTATAGAATTCACATTATGTTTAGCATTAAATGTCAATAGACTCTACAGACAATAAAACAAAGCAAAAAAAAATATAGAATAAATACATCGAACATCATTATCAAGAAAAGAATCCCAATAAATATATATTTTTTTCTTATTCGTTCTCGAACAATACAAATATCATATCATTAGACGAGTTGAATAGAACAAAATGAGATAATTTAAAATTATTTTCTAAGTATCTTTCTTGACGCATGTTTTAAATGTATGTTCCAATTGATATATACTTGTGGATAATCGATTGAAACCATTAATAAGTGAGACGATTTCCGATCGTTGTAATTGTATTGGATGTTCCGCAAAAAGAATTTTCAATGCCGTACCTTAAAAATAAAAATATATAAAACAAACCAAAATAGTTGTTAATGCAATTCCTGTGAGATAAAAATGTCAAACATGACATAGCTCTAATCAAAGGGAAATTGTTTTAGTCTATTCATTCTGTTATTAAATACTCCGCAAATATGATTAAAAAGTAACTCATACATTACAACAAGACATTATTGACATATAGTTTGTGACATTCCTATGATGGCATCTGTCACGTCTGTGAGAAATTTCAAATTTCTACTTTTATACATAGGCGACAGAATGTTTTGATTCTAGAGTAGGCTTTATATCAGATCTTTATTTAAAAGTTAAAAATAAGAGAAAACGAGTTTTTTCATGCCACTTAGATGTAATACCATTCGTGTCTCTTCCATAGAACTCACATTTTGGAACGTGTAATAGAAAAAAATTAGCAACTACCGTAAATAAAATGCAAGCATTTGTGTTTATCGAAATGCGATCTTTAAAAGATGAGATTCTGAGTTACTCCGCCGGAAAACGTTTAATGATGAAGCAGAAATCTTTTTAAAAATAAAAATAAGATACATTGTGAGTATCTTCACTATTGAAAATGTTTAAGAGGCATGTAACTTTCATCATTGAAAGCAAAAGACAAAATCGGCAGATTTTAATTAATCTGACTAAGATTTTTCGTACAGTTCGTTTGCACTCCTAACAAAGGATTCTCATTTCACATAATTGACGATGTACAATCCGATATTTAATTGTATAAAAATCAATATTTTCTCAAAAACAATGTCTAAGTTTGGTTGATTGAGAAAATGTTATTACGAACTCTCGAATGCGGTGAACAATATTGACGTTTTGTAGAAAAAGTGTTATGCATTGTTCAAATATATCAACCTGATGGAAAGACGAACGTGTTATAAGGTGCCAAACAGGATTCTAGGGTATGCTTTCACTTTCTGAAGTCTTGCAGCTCCGCTGTCGATGCTAATTAGACATGAGCTGGTAGTAGAAAAATTGTGGGTTAACTTTGTATCATCAACGAGTCATTTATCAAAAAGAAAATGAAAATTAAAGAGTCATAGAAACTTTTCATGATACTTCGAGTCTATCTAGGCCTTTATCTATCCTGTTGCTAGCGTATCTAGATCTCATAGCTCTGCCATCTAGACTATAAAAAAGCTTATGTTATTGAACTCTGCATACATACAAACTCGAGACTTTTTTCCATTCAGAAAAAAGTTTAGAGTTTGTTTCTGCATGAAATTCCATTAAAGAATTTCTTTAGACCGTATGTCTTGATAGTTCAACAATTGTGTTTGACAACATAAAAAAAATTTTGATTTTCTTTGTTTCTGCATACCTAATGCTTGTACTTGTAATTTTCCCCATAGTTTACATTTATCACAACCAACACAATCCATAATATGACTTATATTTCGAAAATGTTCTTTAAATTCAACTTTTAATAATTCATTTCCATTTTGAAATAAATTATGTTCATTAAAATAATTTGCAAATGGTTCAATTTCTTTTATAAAATGATTCATTAATAATTCTTTCGTTTGTAAATCATCAGTTTCATTTCCTGTAAAAAATGTTTGCTCTTTAAAAAATTCTCGTGCTTTATAAATTGCACGTAATTCTATTAAATAAATAAAATAAATATTTTTTAACCATTTTGGACCTTCACCATCGGTTATTTCAGGATCAAAACGACGTTTAAATTCATCAAAATTTGGTCCCCATCGTCCATCAAAACCTGTATAACCACCACCAATTGCTGGAAAAAAATATTGTGCACATAAATGTACTGTAATACTTGTATGAAGACCTGATATAAGACGATAAAATGTTCGTCCTTCAAGACACATTTTATCTGCATTTAAACGTTTTTGTCTAAGATCATAATAAATTTTAGAATCTGGTAGAAAAAAACAATTTTCATTATAAATTGCTGACCATACTCGTTGTGTTGATGGACCTGTATAACCAGTATAACGTTCAACATTAACTGATAAATCAATATATTCTAAATCGGTTGATGTTTCATCATCAACATCACAAAAATTTTCTGATTGTCCATCATCAAATTGAATCCAAGTTTTAATTGTTTGTTGATGTTCTTCACTTATATTTTTATTAATTAATCCAAGTGTAGAATTACTATGATTTATTGAACATGGTTCAGGTGGATGAATAAGTTTATCACGTAATGGTTCAGGTAGTTTTTCAATTGGACATTGTTTTATTGCACATGTTCGACGTGAACAATGACCATCGTCAGACCAAAATAAACATTTTTTTCTTAGATTAACTGGAAAAAATCGAAAATAATTTTTATTAACTATTTTATGTAATAATGGATAAAGACGTTGATTATTAAGTTCAGCTAAATCAGATATACGACAATTACAATCATCAATTAAATCATTATTATTCGATAATGGACAATGTTCATTACTTAAAACTATATAAAAATTTATGATCACAATATAAATTGAGAGAATTATTATTTTCGTCATTGTGTACTTGAATAACGAGAACACATCAACCGATAGACGTGTCAATTCTACAACGAATGATCATAAGTAAAAGAAGTACTTACACACAAGAAAATTTCTTGTCAACATAGGTTATGATTCTAACCAATCAAAATAAAACAAATGTTTCTTTATCGCAGCGGTGTTGTTGTATTTGTTGTAAGAGAACCAATAAATGAAATACGTTTTCTAGGCAATCATTTTTACTTTCATGTGTTGACTCTTACAGCATTGCTTTTTTTTTTGCCATATGTCATGTGAAGTTTCTTTATTTTATTCTATTTTTAGTGCCATACACATTTTATTTTATTATTATTATTTTTCGAATAGTTAATTACGTTTGATAAATTAAAAATCGATTATAAAGATTTAATAAAACAATGTAAAACATTGAATCTACTTATTCTATTAGAATTTGTAACATATAGTTTTATTAATGTTCTTTTTGTTATTAGTGATCAATGGTTAACAATATTTTTTAATATACCTTTAATGGATGATCCAAGCACTATAATGAATACTCAAATATTAAGTTTAACATAACGTGAAAGTTGAATTAGATTAAGTTTTTATATGATTACCTTTTGTTATTATATTTATTGTATTATTGCTAAACTTATTCGTAAATGAATACTATAAAAGAAAAAGAATTTTTATATTCATATTTACTTTTCTTGTCTGTATTATAGATTTTTGTTTTCTGTGATATATGTCAAAATATTGTTTTGAAAATTGTATGCTTATTTTTACTGAACAAGTATTTATCAAATAATAATTGGTCACGTGAATTAAATAATGGAGAATTTATTGTAAGCTTAGATTGTGCTATGAAGATAGATTACTGATAGAAGAGTAGTTAGATGATACTCTTTGCTTCAAAGTCTTTCTTTATCATCGAACAATTCATTGAAATATGTTTTAAAATCTCAGTAAAATAAAGTTTTCCTTTTATGATATATAAAAGCACTATCGAATTCTTTCTTAGTCATATAGTGTGAATAGAATAGTAATACTGCGATTACCTCATGCTTTAAAGCGATATTATTTTATCCGATATATGAATAGTAATTATGAATATACCCGATAATGATGAAGTAGATATTCATTGTTAATAATCGTTTGTTGTTTATCTAGCATTATTCTTGTAACTGTACATTTGTATTTTTACATGAGTTTTTATAATAACAAACATCATAGAGAATTGAGAATTATTTTTCTAAATTATTGACATCATCTTTCATTTGTTATGTTGCTTAAGAATGTGAAGTTTTAGTTTACTGATCACAGACTTCATATGAGTAGTGCACATTGACTAAATGAGCAACAATATCCATTAAAGCAACACACTGCTTTACTACAAAACCGGCATAGTTTGATGGAGTTGATATTTCAATGTTGCAGTGAACATAGATGTCGATTCTTGAGCAAACATCGATGCTAATGTAATTAGTAGACTCTATGTTGATGACTCATTGTTTAGCACTTATATCAATACTACACATTCCTAATGTTACTTTTTTTTATTTATTTTTGTATTTGACTTGTACTATGTTTCTTTTTTTTCTACGAATCAATTTCTATCGGTTTATAGTAGATACTAATTAGTTTCTATAAAAATAACAGCACAGTATTTAACTTTTTTTTCAGAAGATATTCAATATTTGAATATTGTCTTTCTTATAGTTACGTATAATTTTTATGATTAATGCATTTGAAAATAATTCCGAATTTTTCTGCATTCATTATAGCTAGGTTTATAATATTTAACGAATAAATATTTCTTATATAAAACCGTTTTGGTAGAAATATATTTAGGTTTTTAATTAATTCTGCTCTAAAAGTTTTTACTTTTTTTAATTTTTCAATTAATTTATATTTATTAAAAGCTTTTTTAATAATTATCAATGGATAAAAGTTCAACAAATGAAGAATAGGTGTATCTCATATTGGCTATGTGCAAGGTGTTGAAAAGAAGAAATTTCAAACAAAAATTTGTTGAACTACTATAAAAAAAAAAGACATGATCAAAATATGTTTTCTTCTGTCTTTTTACTTAAACTTAGCTTACCTATTGTATCTAGTAAATAAACAATATCATATAATCTAGTAGTTTTAGACAGTTGTTGAATTTTTATTGTTTTATTTTTTAAGTTTTAATTCATCTCTACAAATATCTTTATCAATAAAACTGTTTTAATTGGATGTCGTTGCATATTTTCAATTATCAAAAGATAAAATCCTTAAAAATTTTCAAGTGTAAGCCAGATATACGATAAATATGTCGATGGATAAAAGGAATGTTGTTGAAAAAGAAAAAAGATTATCGTTAAGCACATAGTCTTATTCACTGGTGTCGTGTAACGAAGGTATTTCATATACTTGAAATCTCTTCGCTATACGTTTATTATAAGAGAAAATGAAATTTCGTTGATGACAACAATTTCTCCAGACGAAGTTAGAGCGCATGCATTTACAATAGTAAATAATAAATAGATAAAAAAAAAGTAATGATGTCAGCTATTAATTCTTGATTCATAGACCAAGTTTGATAGTAATACAGAAATAAGACTGCAATAGTAATAACTAAATGGTTTTCATATGCTACAACATGATCAGACACGAATAGACAGTAGTCAACATCATAGTCTTTTCATCTGTTTATTATTTCAAATTGTAAATGCACATATTTTAAAATTGTTTTTTGATAATGAAATATTAAATTGTGAAATTTTATTTATTTTATAATAAACTTATCAAGAAGAAAGATTTTTACATATGACAAGGAAAATTCTATTCGTTGTTATCTAAAATAAAATTATTGTTACATGATTTTATCGAGATATATGATGGATGTTTATAATAAAATAGATGAAATCGAACATAAAACAAGTGAAATAAAAATTATTATCGATGATATGAAATATTTTTCTTTTTGAAATATAATAAAGTATATGTTTTTCTTTTGTAGCTTATCTAATTCTTTCTCTTTCGAATATAACAAATTACATATGGTATACGTATGTATTTAATAAAAACATGGGAAAATTATTGGAATTTTTCTAGAAAATAATTAAGTCATAAATGTATATCAAGTTAATATAAAATGTTTGTTATTAAAGAACAAATATGCAATAATACAAAATGACATGGAATTGAATAGTATATAATAGTAAAGCAAGAAGGATAATTTAAAACTATGAAAAATATTCTTTATTTTGATTATAAAAATAAAAATTTTCAGAGACATTTAATAATTCAATTTTATAGCTTTTCTCATAATTCTATACATGTTACCAAAACTATATTTATATTCTTTTTAAGATGGATCCAAAGGATCTTAAATTGCGTACTGTTTTAATTGACATTGGTGATAAATTGTCAAAGGATGATCGTGCTTTGCTCGGTTTTCTTCTCACCGATGATGTACCACGTCGTGATCTTGATAGTATAATTCGAGATAATAGAACATCGATGAATATTATATGGGAAGCATTAATTGATCGAGGAAAAATTATGCCTGATAATGTCGATTATCTTATTCTTCTTCTTGAAAAAATTCGACGTATGGATTTAGTTCGACAGCTAAAACAATATTCATCAGTATCAAAATCTGAAAATCCAGTTGAAAAACCAAAATGTTCATCAGGTTTATTTACTCGTATTGATCCATAAAATTTTGTATAAAATCATGTAAAAACTGTCATGTTTTCTATTTTATTTCATTAATTTTTTGCAGAAAAAAAAATCGTCATGTTTTTAAAATTGTTTTCTTCACAAGTTATTTTACGTAGTGTGATAAAACTTTAGATTGAAATTTGTCTATTGAATGAATTTAAAAATTCAAAAAAGAAATGCCGTCTGATATTGATTTTCGTGAGTTATTAATCAATCTTGATGACGAAATGTCCATTGAAGAACGTAAAAGGTTTATTTTTCTACTTGGTGATGATATACCAAGACGAAAACGAGATGAACCACTTGTTGATATTTTTACAATACTTATTGATCGAGGACGAATATCACGAATGAATTGTAATTATCTAGTGGAAATATTAACACGCATGAAATTAACAGCATTAGCTTACCAAGTTGCTCGTTTTGAAACAAGTAAGTTATTATTATTATTATTTTTTGTTTTTCTTTAATAAACATAATATCGAATTTTAAAGAAAATTCTCCTTCAATATCACTTCCACCAGAATTGGAAAACAGTCAACCAATCAGCAATGCTGATATTTCATCTGCTGCAACAGACGACAATCGACGAACAAATGCTCCTACATTAGAAGAATTCTGGAATGATATAAATGCATCAGATGCAATGATAATATCGGGTGAGGAAGAAATAGGGGACGATCGAAAAACTTTTAGAATAGATGTTTGTTTACTTTTAATTCCTTAGAGAATGTTTCCAACGAATCAAATATTATGAGTTAAGATCAAAGAGGAAAAGCTGACTTCGAGTGATTCCAATTATTTCAGTCGTCAATATAAGGAACAAAAGTTATCGTTACGTTATCAGACAACAGAGAACGAACGAATTCGTAGATTTGATTCTGTCGTCATGAAATAGCTAATCGGAGAAAATCATGGTTTTTTTTTTAACAAAAATTTTATCAAAAGTAATGAATTACAAGTTTGATTTCTTAACTTCGGAAATCTTTCATAAAACTTGATTAGTATTTATTTATGATGAAAAATAACTGTTCCTTGATAAATCTACAAAATTTTTCGTTACCCGTCATCGATAACATAATAGATAGAATGATCTTCTTAATCACTGAAACGAAAACAAAGAATGATTTGAGATAACTCTCAGGGATTTACCGTAAGGAAAACAATTGACTCTAAATGCTTTTGTTGATTCCAATGACTTCATGTGATTCTACAATCACAGGATCAGCTCTCGCTCTTGATTAGAATACTTGTTTCGAATACAAGCCTACAAATTTTGTTCGAGAGTAGTAAAGTAATCTTCGAAA